AGCCAGTCAGTACTTCTGTGTGATGATTCACAGACTTGGCGGCGTGTTACGAAAAGCATTTCCAACAAACTACAGACATACATCACATGAACAGCTATCACCTACGCTCACTCGATTGTGAAAATGGAGATCAGATGGTGAGAATAATAAGAATAAGCAACAAGGAACTCTGGCTAGATGGCTGGCTGGGTGGTAACGAACCAACCAAGAACCCATCGCCAAACAAATATGCAGTGGAGATGGATTAGATTGAACAAACACTGAGAAGACAGTTTGGGGACATCACGTGCCAGGCGAGTTTCTCGAGTGGAACTCAAAGGGGAATGGATGAGATGGGCATCCTATCTGAGGGTGACATGGAGGAGGTTGTGTGAGGAAGAAATGAAAGCTTGTGGGTAGTTGTAGAGTCAGGTTTTGAAGACTGCAGAGAAGAGAGTGAAATGGCGAGGTGTTACTGAAGCCCTATGTTCCACTAAGAACCGAAGGGACTGACATCAGTTGGGGAACTATTGAGAACCTTGATGCATTGGACAGCTGGTTGGTCCTAGTATGGCACTCATCAGCAGTATGCACCGACGATCGTGCTAGGGATCGAACTCATGATCTTCTGGTTCCAAGTTAAACATCCACACTCTATATAGGGAAGGTGGCTATAGATATGTATGACAGTCGTGTGGAAAAACGGATCCAAAATACAGGATATTCAGATGCTAAGAGAACAGCAAGTAGTGTGTGGTTTTTGTTCATGCTGATTGCTCATCAAATTATGTGGAATCAAGTGTTGCTATGTTAGACATGAATACACCTTATCGTAATAGACAAGAGATTAAAATGTACATTAGCATTTATAAGTGGAGAGGTGGATAATATCGGCATAAGATGAATAAGAAGCTGGGACAGAAAAGCATCTGTTCAAGTTGTCACACTTCATAGCAGCATGGAAAGAAAAGGTGGATAGAAATTGACTGATATAAAAGTAGACAAAAGTATATGAAATGTAAGAGAATAAATAAACGGAAATTGATAGAAATACTCAAAGCTTTGAAATCGATAAAGAGTATATATATCTGCGCCATAGTCACTGATTTTAGCTCTAGATACATAGAGTAGTTTTAAACATATAGGTCTGTCAACACACAATTATCATATAGTCTCATAAATAATTTATTTTTACAGTCGTCCTCTTATTATTCCCTTGGATTTGAATTGGCGTGAAAAGACGTAGTTTGACAACTATATATATATATATATATATATATATATATGACAGTGGAGAAAAATACTCGGTCATTAAAGTGAAGTTAAGACATAGTCATTAGCAGCGTCTCGTAACTCTGTTGATAGAGCAGCGGTTGGTAATCTGATGGCCATTGGTTAGAATCTTCATTTGACCTAGGTTTTTATTTAACCTTTAATCATTCCTCTGTGTCAGGGGATTAGAAAGATTGTAGATAGATTTGTGGTAGAAATACCCACTGCCGTTAAATACTTCAATAATCCATTAGAAACTTATGCTATTCTACAAGTGTAGAACTTCTCTAGCGTTAACATATGTACTAGTGTAGTGGCCGTTGCTGATAAAATGGATATAAGTAGTATATGTTGAGAGAGTGGCAGAAATCATAGGGAATTACCAGCAATGGGTAGGGATTCTGCCCAGAGAAAGGAAAGAGACAAGGTGGGCGTATTAAGAGCAAATCAAGAGAGAAGCAGAAGAGGAAATGAAGCACATTTTGCAAATGACTGTCTTAGTGCAAGGTGTACCACATGCTTATTATAAACATTCCTCTCTTTAACTATATCTTCTCGATTCCTTCACTAGCAACTGAAAAGACAGAAAACATACAACCTTCAAGGCATTGAACAGAAGGTTACAGCATTTTATAAAAGATTTAAACGGATCATATCGTATGCATACCATTCTGGAAATGATGATACATAAATTATTTTTGAATAAAAATCGTGAACGATGTCGGCTACTGATGGATGAAAAGTATTCTAACTTTCAAATAAGTGAATGAGAAAAAACATAATTTTGTTTTCTTAAAAAAAACCCATAAGGATTAGTTTAAAGACATCAAGTTACACTATTTATATATTGTTAACAAATGGTGCTTAATCAAAACATAATTAATTATACTTCAAGATTAACAAAAAAACAAACTGATGTAGAACCAACTACTTTTAAATAGGTGTTGATCTTACTATCACATTTCAAGACACAGTCAAATAGATATATCAATGTGAAAGCCTACACAGAAGTGCATCACTCCAAGTTATCACATTTTGTAACATTACAGAAAGAGGTAATGCCTGGAAATGCAAACATGCTTAAATAAATAAAAAGAAGTATAAGAGGAAAATGAATAAATAAATGATAGCTCAAGTTATTCAAGTCATGAATTATTATAGTTATAATTACTTCAGTGTAGAATCTATTCCAGAAGTGTTTCGGTACAAGATGCCATACTTCACAACATCAGCATGCAAAGAAGAAGTCAATAGAAAGCAGATGACGTTAAAGTAGACAAAAGTGTATAAAAAGAGAATTGCAGACATTTGTGCCACTGCAACTGATTTTCAGTCATGTTACCAAGAGTTCTCAACCATTGGTTTCCAATATTTCCAGGATTCAAGCCAAGCAATCGACACTTTTCCCTACATGGCTCAAACTAATAGTCAAACAATTTATGGATTGGCACCACGTTTTGGTCTGATCACTCAAATCCTTTTCCCAACTAGATAGTACTTCACCTAATATCGAATATCGGTGGCAGTGGCTCAGCATACGCAACACATATCTAAGTCACCTCATTGACTGATTCGCCTGCTTTGCCTAGTACCCTTCACTTAACCTAAACATTGCTCCCATAGTGATTTCACTATACATAAACAGTGATACAAAGACTTTAGACAACCTGTAATCTTTTAGCATCTACCTTCGATGGCTATGTCTCAAAAGAGTATAATAGGGCAGAGCGGACTGCAGCGCAGCATACTCCTCCTAGAATAGGTAGTTGAATATGTCGACAGCGCAATAGATAACACAAGGTAGAAAATGCCCAGCGGTAATTCTATATCCGGGATAAGATTTCATCAGCAACCAACCTATTTGAGCTCATGTAACTTTTTCAAGTAACTGAGGTGCTCTACACTATACATGGCTGGTGCAAAACGCATGTTAAACATACTGAGATTTCAGCTCAAGGTATTTAGAAGACTGTATTTTGTCAGCGTCTTAGCCTAACAAGACTGTGCCATTTGGAAACACCTAGTTAACGGGTGCCCTCCTGGGTATTAGCCAATCCCTGAAAAGTTGCAAATAACTAGTGTTGTATCTATTAGCATGTATACAATAAAGTAAAACAGGAATAGTGACAGAGGTTACCCTTAGCGGACACCACTGGTTGTCTTTACCATAGACGAAAACTCAACGGCTGCGTGAGTTCCAGTAGAGATCTTTGACTGGCACAATATACTTGCTCGCTACTCTCTTCACAGTTAAACACTGCTACGAGACCTTAGTTCAACAAAGTTGTATACAGCCTTCATACCAAGAAATTTGGCAAATATGTGGGCTGGTAAGTGTACTTGCGCTCCAAAGTCTGTCGAAGTGTGAATAAATGATTGATCGTCATCATGGTCTGAGACCTATCTGGTTTTCAGGATTCTGTTGTTCCCGAAAACCAGCTATGTATCAGTTAAGTAAGGACGTTAGTATCTTAAATAGGATGCCAGCCAAACTAATTCTCTTGCAGTTGTTACACAGAGACACATCGAGTGGAGTGACCAGTGATCTAGACCAGTTTGACGAGGCTACATTTGCCTCCTATACACTAACTAGTTATGCCCAAGTTACTAGACTTGATTATTAACTGTGCTAACTGTATCTAGGCAGCACTGTTTCAACTACAGGCAGCACAGACGAGAATGTCAAAATCAGGATCGGAAAAGCAAGACAGTCCTCCACTAATTTGAAATCAGTGTGGAGATCTACTGCACTCAGCAAAAAGCGTGAACAACATCCAGATACTTAACACCGATTCAGTCAAGTCAGTGCTGCTATATAGTTCAGCAACTCGGCGTATCACGAAAAACACTTCCAACAAACTACAGACATTCATCAACAGCTGCCTACGCTGGCTAGATACTCAAGATCAGATGGTCAGAATAATAAGAATAAGCAACAAGCAACTCTGGTTGACTGGCAACGAACCAACAAAGCGAGAACCTATCACCCAACAGCTGTGCCGTGGAAAAAGTGAAGATCGATTGGATTAGGCATACACTGAGAAGGCCGATTGGGGACATAGCTTGCCAGGCGAGTTTTCCTGGTGGAATCCAAGAAGGAAACGATGAGTTGGGCGTCCCAGTTTAGGGTGACATGTAGGAGGTTGTGTGAGGAAGAGATGAAAGCTTGTGGGCAGTCGTGGTGTCAGGTTTTGAAGACTGCAGAGAAGAGAGTGAAGTGGCGAGGTGTTACTGAAGCCCTATGTTCCACTAGGAACCCAAGGGAAAAAAAATTAAAAGGATAACTTTATTACAGAAGCCACTTGGCGAACAACACAGCATTACAGGGATGTTTCGTTCTGAATTGAAATCTTCATCTGAAATACTCACATGCAACACCCCGGTTAGCATTCTAGAACTCAACCAAAAGAGATTTACGTCTCAGAGTAAATAATTCATTATTGTTCCACTTCAGTTCAAAGAATACACAACTCAGTCATGCTATAATGTCACTGGTGATTATCTATCGTCGCTGCCCCCAACTAGTGCTACTTACTTTAATTGGTTCTGATTATCACGAATGAGGGGAGAAGGACCCAACTTTGATTTAGAAATGGAGTAGATAATTAATACTGCTGAAAAGTAATTCAGTTTTTAACTATTTTCATGTCATTATATGATTTCTGACCAAGTCCTTGTCAACACAGTCTAATGCTATATATATAGGCTTGAAATTTTATAAAGATACCATTAGAAGAAAGTATGATTACCTGACAAATTTAGTTCTTGTACGACCTAGTCTAGGTGGAAGTTCGGGTTGAGGTGCAGTACGTGGTCGTCGACAAGATAAAACTTTTTCTTGATTATTAGGATGTCCTGTTGTAGCATGATTTTGATGATGACGATGATAATCATTTGATCGACAAGATGAATCTAATTTACAGCTCTCTATACTATCAATTGAACTAGTTCTTGAAGTTGCTGTTGTATACGAAGTACTTGGATCACATGCTCCAGCGCTTTCACTTTCTCTTCTAGATACAGGAACAATATCTTCTGTGATTGATGATAATTCAGTGGAATCGTGAACACTTGGGTTAACAATAGCACGTAAATGAGATAAATTGCCTACGTGTTCATGACGAATAGGTTGGGGAATGATTAAACGTGTGTTCGATGCTTCAATATTAACCACTCTTTCTGAGAATTTAGATTGTTCTGGTGGGTTTTCTTCACTTTTCAGTGTATTCGAACATTTCCGAATATTAGCATAGGACTGGACCATTGATTGACGGTAATTACGATAGTTTTCAATCCAAAATTCAGCCTAATAAAAAAATATACATATTTATAATTTAACTTGGAGAAAAGCTTTTTTGACATTTGTTAGTTGGATGGAGTCGGTCAGCAGGAAGCCCTTGATCTAGGCTTCGATAGAATCAATAAAATCCGATCAACAAAGAGGACTGGACAACATGAAGTTAGTTACCCTCCAGTGACCAATCAATGTATCTTGCCCAGTCCTACAGGAAGTCAGTCACGGTTCAAATAGGTCAGTGGTAACGTCGCTGACTACAACACTGGGTGACGGGTTCGGATTTCGGGCGGAACATCGACTCCGTCGGGTTGCAGATATACACTGCTGATGAGTACCAACAAGCACGAAACCTAGGTCCAGGAGTTCTTGCTGATTGCTTCTATCCAAATAAAATCTATCATAGTGCATCTCGATGCTGAGCTGCCTATAGTCTGGTGGCCACAATTCGATCAGCACATAGGACTAGGCAACATGAGGTTGGTTACCCTCCGGTGATCAGTCAATGTTTTTGACACTTAACTGATAAATATCGAAACCAAAAGACACTGATTGGTGATATCATTCTGGTTTGATATTGTTTAGTTGTCAGAAGATGATTATAGGCTACTTATCGGATAAAATCCATGTTCTCATAATCTCGAGTTTAACATGTAGCAGTTAAATAAATACAGTGCTAAACAGCAGTCAGTACTTAACAATAGAATTTGTGAATAGTTTGAGAAATTTTCACTTATCTTATAATGCAGTCTATCTCGATCAGTTGGTTGGATCAAGCCTATCTGAAAAAGTTTCTTACTTTGTTCAGAGACATTACTGGTGAACTTGGCATCAAACTATGGGAAGAACTGCTGTTTTTAGATCACTTCGACTTCACTAACAACATCCGCAGATCTAACTAATCATGCTCTCAAGTTAGTATTCTTTGTTATTTCATGACATTTTTGTGACAAGACCACACGTTTTAATCTTTGCTGAGTAGGTTCCAATGATAACTGTGTTGACAATACAGTTGGGTAGTAGTGAGGAGTGTCAGTATAAGTCGTGTAGTTTCTTATGAATAATTTGAGAGTTATCTATTCCTACTTAGTTTTTTCATTATAGACATATAGTTTTAATAAATAAAACCCACCAGTATGATTTTGCAATGGGGAGAATGTATGTAGCTCAGGTGAATGGTCTTAGTTGTATTGTGTTCTCTGAGCTGAGTTATTTACTCGTGGAGCTTTCATCGTCTTTCTAACTTCAGTATGAATTTAGTGCTGAAGATGTCGTCTAGAAAGACGATGAAAGCTCCACGAGTAAACAACTCAGCTCAGAGGACACAACACAACCAAGAAAACACACCAGTTCTTCAGTTTTATCACCAAGTAGTTACCCCCATTCTTAAATTGGTTGCCCCTGCATTTCTCAGCTTCAAACAGATAAGTCCAACCAATAGAAAGTATCTTTAGATGAGAATTACTTGACAGTACGAATAGTTTTAAAAACAGTCATGAAGTTTATAAGGATAAAGTACATAGTTGTTGGATCAACTTGATTGACTACGAAAGCAAAGGTAAAGCGTTCGAGTGACAGGTGTTAGTTATTTTGTCAAAGTCTTAGCTTATCCAGAATTAAAGATATCACTGAACACACAAAATAGTTAATGTGACGAATGGAGTATTTTGCCCGGATCTACTGAACCAGTAGAATTTTAAATGCACTATTATACTTAATGTTTGACAACTATCAGATCCGAACGGGTACACTTGTAATCTACGCTATGCATTTTTATTATCAAGGTGAAACTAATCTGTTAAAAGTAGTTTTCATCAGGGATTGACGTCAACTGGAAGTATATTAGAAGACTGGAGGCACGAGCTAGGTGTTCCAGAGGTAGACACCTTTAATCCATTAAGATAAGTTTAACTATGTTTCATATCAATCGAATTATTTTATTTCCATTGGAGAATTACATGCTAAGCATTTCTAATAACTACAAAGGAAGATACGATGGGCATTCCAGAAAATCATTCAGAACTGGAAAGTTGATTTACTTAGTTACAAAGATGTAACTGTATTTGGTGTAACACAGAACTTCAGTTCCATGTAGTACCTGCAGTATCATGAGGTTTCAAATATGTTTTTCTGCTAATAGATAAGATACTAAAAACGTACAAAATGTATTCAACTACAGAAACCTGTTGATTACCTCCAAAAATCTATCGTCAAGAAATGAAGTATTCAACTTTGTGATCATAAATTATAACTCTCAGCCGTATACAATATTACCTACTTGTATGGTTGATGATGGTTATAAGCTACAAAAACGAAATATGGTGTGTAACTCTGGATGACAGTATACGAGTACGATTCAATAAATTCTAGTCAAAGAATCAAGATTTACATAAACATTTATAGAGTACTAAAGGTAGCCAAGATTGATAATTAACCATGACTATATTGATTAGTTACTGGAGGGTAACCAATTTCACGTTATCCACTCATTAGTGCTGACTGAATTTTGTCAGTCGGTTTTTCAGTGTGATCACCAAGCTAGGAAATTCAACATCACAGTGTACTTTGATGTTAGAAGGTGGAAAGTGATCGGCGAGAACCCCTGAACAAAGGTTTAGTGTTTGTTAACACCTGTCAGCAAAGCGTATCTGCAACCTCAAGGAAAATGATGTCGCCAGAGAGATTGAGACCCAATTCATCCAGTTCAACAGACATAATCATTTCCACTGAGCTATTCGGGCGACTGCGATTGAACTCTTTTGGGTTGTAGATATGCCCTGCTGATGAGTGCTAACTAGCATGAAACCTTAGTCCGGGGTTTGTTGCCAAGTGGCTCCAACGAACTAGCATTAAGCATGATTATCTCTTCTGTTACCATCGCTGATAACCATATCATTATTCATCGGATTTTTTTCCAATCACTATGTTCAAAGTACTTTTTCATCAAAGATTGAAATCATTTGGAGAACCACTGAAAACCTAGAAGTAATGGAAAGGTGTTTCATCCCACAGTTTGCCACTCCTTAGCAATGCACGTTCATGAACCTTCAAGGAATTGAGATAAGACCTACAGGTCTCACGCCAAGCACTTTGTCATTCAGTCACTGCATTGAAGTTTAGTGGTTCAATACTTCCTATTTCTGAGAATTTGTGCTATAGCGCGACCGCAATTCACTGTCAACGATGAATAACTGTCTTCAGTGTCATTTGGTTGACCCTATAGGTTACGGCTTCTCATTAGGACCATAGGAAAATCATCTCAAAGCTAGTCGACCATGAGCATTAAATGGGAATTCGGTATGCGGATTTTAAGGATTGATTGATTTCAGAGTCACTTTCATCATTATGGATTGATACGCTAACAAAAACATGCTGCCGAAAAGTCTGAGAATGGAACAAAACCGTTATTCAATGCCTTCAGGTTTTCGTTGATTATCCGAAATGACGTCAATTCGTAATGAAGACTACGTTGAAATCATCAAATTATCCTTTCAAAACATGCTCACCGAATTACACTTTTAACTGGAATAATTAGTATATTAACTAACTGAGTTTCAAACGAATTATTGCTATTGTTCACCCGTGATGATAGAATCACACTACCACTGTGGTTATTAAACTTGTCTAAAGTATTTCTATGGACTAAATTTAATGGTAAGTTGTTGCAAATAATCAGCTTTACACAAAACTTTTTTGTCTTATTCTCATACGTAGTCAAAAGCGGTGGTGGCTATCAGTGGAGTGATGTTTTTCCCAGTACTACTGACTCGGTAGCCTAGTGGATTGTGCTCTAGTGTTTGAAGTGATGAGTACTGGGTTCCAATCTAGGTGGGTGCACCACCACTCACTAGTATGCAGGTACATTCAGCTGATGACTTCTAAACAGGACGAAACACGCGTCCTGAATCCCACTGATAGCCACAACCAAGTAAATGATAACAACTTATATTCAAGCAATATTGAGGAATCCTCATAGGATCCCATATACCAACAGAGGTCGGTCAATTCGACTCAGTATAACATGAGGAATTACAGGTATATCAACAAATGGTTGTAATAATAATAATAATAATTCAGTATTGATGCTTTTGAAGTGAAGACGGGAGTGAGATAAGATTGCTACTATTACCAAGATCCTCCTGATTGTGGTGGACTGGATCATGCTACAAACTGTGAGGAGCGAGAAGATGGGCATACACTGGACTTATGAAAAGTGGATTGGACATAAACTGAGAAGACCATTTGGGGATATCACGTGCCAGGCCAGTTTCTCAAATGGAACCCAAATGGAAACGACGAAATAAGCGTCCCAGCTGAGGGTGACATGGAGGAGAGATCGTGTGAGGAAGAAATGAAAGCTTGTGGCAGTCGTGGAGCCAGGTCGAAAAGAGAGTGAAATGGCGAGATGCTAATGAAACCGTATGTTCCAATAGGAACGCAAAAGACAAATAATATTAATTGATTTAGGGACTGTAGCATAAGTGAGTGAGAATTAGAAACCCCATAAAGGATACTGATTTAAGTTTTTTGCCCATCTACTTTTCATACATGATATAAAATCTAAATCCTGTTGATAAGGTCTGCAACAATTTCACACTTTATCATGCTTATATCTTAATCTTACATAGTCTATATTAATATAACATATATTTAGTTAATCAACTTACTTTTGAGCTTGGCAATGGTATCACCATCAAGTACATATCATCCCTAGGGACTTTAAGCACGTGTAACATTACAAACAGTAGATGAATGCATGGTTCTTTTGGATTACTACAATTACTAGTCATTCCTATTTCATGTGTAATTTCATTTTGACAATTACATATTTGTGGTCCAATCACTACACGATATCTTTGCCGTCGTCGTTGTCGATGATGATATGAATACTGTCTTGCTTGAGAAACATTCATACCGGAGGTAATCATACTGTCATGTTGTTGTATTGATGTTATTGAGTGTTCATTTTCTTTATCATTCATGACACAATTATTATTTTCATCATTGATAATTTCTTCATTTTTTTGTATAATTATAAATGAATTTGGTGCAGGTTGATAAAGTACTATGAAATTGGCATCCAAAGCCTGTTTTATTTGATATTTATACTTGTTAGATAAACAGGTTTTATTCATTGGTAAAAATCACAATGGGAAAAGAACAGAAAGAAAGATATATAGATTGTTTTTTATTTGATTTGCTAGTCACTTTCCTTTTAGTGTTATTTTGGTTTTGTTGGTTTCAGTCATCTAAGTTTTCTGTGCATTGGATGAAACAACCAGTGGAAAATCGAAGCATGAATAACCAAGCAAACATGATCTAAAAAATGAATGAAATTAAGAACAGTTTCAATTTGATCAATTACGCAATATACTACCGAAAAAAGTAAGTAGTCGGATAAAAGCTAGATCGACCAATAGTTTTCACTGAACATAGTTATTTCTTCTAGTGCTTGGATTTCTCAGAAAGGCTGATATCAATCCTTTAGGGGTGAAATTTAAAACTTATAAAACTTGATACAAGAAAGTTAACTCTTGAACTACTGGAACTGATTAAAACAATTCACATTTCTAGTACTAGTTTGCTTGTAATAAAACATGATGAAATAGTAATATTCATTTGGTATACTTCTGAGTCCCAGAAACAGACCTGGAGCAACTATCTAGTAATTCCAGGTTATCAATATCTGTTCAACACTCATTCACTGTACTTAGAAACTATATGCACATTCGTGAAGTACACAATGAGCCACACCTATCTTGTGATGGTTAGCGATACTACCCGACTGGTCAAACTTTGGTAGGTGGGGTGGGTTTCAAACCCTGACCTACCAGTTAAAAGTTAACTATCTGAACCAAATGAGCCACAGATCTGCTAGCCAAGTTTCTATATTTAATCAATTTATCATCAAATTATGTTGCACCAAACTCATACACTATTGGGAATTGCTACCTTTTTTGACTTGTGGGATATCTTTTGGCAACAGGAGACTTTTGATTGGTTGGATTATTTCTTACCGTTTAAAACGATGCATACATTAGAGATGTTTCAGAGACAATCCACTTCAAGCCATAGACAATCATATTGGGTTTCCTAATAGTTTAAACACAATCGGTTTATTGTGTTTTTCTACTCGCATCACTTCTATTGCTATGCTCTATGCTATGTATTATCACATCAGGTGGCTCAAAAAAAACGCCAACTATGATTCATCAATAATCGTATCCAATAACCGTGGTACGATTTGGTGAGTGAATCTGAACATAGTTACTACTCTTCATTAATGTTTCATCTTTTTGTATAAAGCATAAAAGAGTGGTATTTGAATTCACCCGATTCTGAATTGTAGTATCCGTATGGAAACAAAGTAAGACTGTGTGTGGTATTGATAGTAATCATGATTACAAGGTTTTCCATATTTTTGGATTTAAACGGAAACATCTGATATAAATATGATTAATTTCTGTTTTCATTTTTACAGTAGTTGAAAAATCCTCCATTACGTCATTAGACAAAAGACGTTCAGCGGAAAGCTACTCTATTCAACCATATCATTCTCAAGCTGTACAGTTACACAAAAATATTCCATTCACATGTTAACAAAAAAAGGAATATGTCATAAAATTTTTGAATGAAATTTAGTTTTGATTATAAATCAGATAAGAAAAAGAATTACGTAATGTCTGAGAAAGTAATGAGAAGAAAACTTACCAAGACTGAGGCAGTATGATGTAATGTAGTTAAGGGGACAAGTGAATGTCATAAAAAATCAGAATTATAGGGGTAGAAAAATTTGATGTGTGAGCAGATGTGAAAAGGATTTTGAGGGTAAAATGTTCGTATAGGTGACTTCCATCGCAAATGAAGTGACCCTACAAATTTATTTTATACGCAGAGTTTGGGCTTCAAAATATTAACTGTTATACCTTCCTCAGTTTGAAGAAGTTTCAGGTGTAAATCTTTCAGGAGGCTTGCAAGAATTCGATTATTATATTATTATTTTTCCCTTGGGTTCCTAGTGGAACATAGGGCTTCAGTAGCATGCCATCATTGCACTCTCTTCTCTGCAGTCTTCAAAACCTGACACCACGACTGCCCACAAGCTTTCATCTCTTCCTCACACAACCTCCCACATGTCACCCTAGGCTGCGACGACCAACTCGTCGTTTTCTCCTTGGATTCCACCCGGAAAACTCGTCTGGCAAGCGATGTCCTCAATCGGCCTTCTTAGTGTATGTCCAATCCAATCGATCTCCACTTCCTTCCACGGCACAGCTGTTGGGTGATAGGTTCTCGCTTTGTTGGTTCGTTGCCAGTCAACCAGAGTTGCTTCTTGCTTATTCTTATTATTCTGACCATCTGATCTTGAGTATCTAGCCAGCGTAGGCAGCTGTTGATGAATGTCTGTAGTTTGTTGGAAGTGTTTTTTGTGATACGCCAAGTTGTTGAACCATATAGCAGCACTGACTTGACTGAATCGGTGTTAAGTATCTGGATGTTGTTCACGCTTTTGCTGAGTGCAGTAGATCTCCACACTGATTTCAGATTAGTGAAGGACTGTCTTGCTTTTCTGATCCTGATTTTGACATTCTCGTCTGTGCTGCCTGTAGTTGAAACGGTACTGCCTAGGTGGGTGAAAGACTACTTCCTCTAGGTTTCTCCTGTTGATGGTGATTGGTGCTTGTTGTCGATGCTGTTATTCTTTGGGTATCTTCATCACCTCCGTCTTCTCTACATTCACTTGAAGTCCCGTTTTCGCTGCCTCTTCTTCGCCTGAAGATCTCGGAGTTTGCAAGAACTCAGTAGATGACACTAAATTTGTTTTCTGTATTTACCAGATGGTGATAACGGATTAAATCTTTTAAAATAGAGCTGTGAGTTGCTCTTTTTTCTTCCTTGCGGAAACAGACTACTGTGTTTGGAAATGCGCTTTGAAAGCCAACGTTGCTTACAGCCAATATACCTTACTCCATAGGAGCAGGTGAATCGATGAGCATATACCGAGCTGGCTAAGGGAGCTAACTTATCCTTTACGCATAATCGAAGTATTGGATGGGTGGAGAAAGTTAATCTAGGTTTGACAGCATAGAAAGTCTTTTTTCATGAGCACAGCAGATGGTTTCTTATTAAACTTACTGATATGTCTCCTTTGAACTACAAGCTAATGAAAAGATGCTTCTCAGGAGCCGTAGAAGTAGAATGATTATTTGCTTTCAGTTTCATAGTTTTAGCGAGATGAAACACTCAGGAAACTAATTTTCAGTCGAAACGTTTTTGAAAAAATTAAGTTTATCTTCCAAGGAATCAGGACTGAAGATAGTGTGGATTCTATGGTATATAGAGAGAATCAGATTCATACAACTAAGAACCACAATAAGGAGCACAGTAAGAGGATTTTGACAAGCTAATCACGTTTAGTACTCATAAAATATTACAACCATATGATGAATCTCTTTTTTACACGAATTATTTCCATTCATCTCCTAGTTACCTTTTCCTGCTTTTCATAACTAATCTACTCTGTTTCCTTCTCCAAAAATTTTTCCAGTTGATTGCCTGCTATCTTGAGTTTCTCCGAAGACACTGTACTATATACTACTTAACCTCATTGTTTCCAGTAAAATATACATAGTGCAATAACATAGATTGGCGATTGAGCTGTTGTAAGGATAGTCATTGATTTTGATAATCACAAGAGTCAGAATTAGATCTTATACGAACTGAATATTACAATATTCCTGATCTATAGTAGTAGTTGCAGAGAAGTCATACAAAAAGCAATGTTTGCGACCTAGACACTAAAAGACTGGATTGTTTGCAACAGATTAACCAGAGTGGGATGGTTTGAAAGAATTTTTACTCTCTGAATTGCTGGCAGCTGTTAGTTGTACTTCGTATGCTCCTATTTGGGCTAGATCTGTTTGGATGAATCGATTAATGAACAAGATGCAAAATGAGCTAGCTGTTAACTGATTAGAGAATCATTTGTTTAGTTACAGGAGTAGTAGGGTTTTTTAAAATAGTCGTATAGATTAATGAGATAAAGAATACAAGTTATACTTTGATTTTATTAGGCCTACTATTAGTGCTGAACAGATAATGTCTTATAAAAAGACCATTTATAATGTTCAACAGAAGCTTAGTTGATTCTCGTGTAGTTGTGAAATTCTCATATGGAATAAAACGTTCATTGACGAATAATTTTAGGTATCAAGCAAATTGGCAACTTTTTGATTACTATGTTATGCATCTTATTGAGAAAAGGATAATATTATTTCAATTTCTATTGTACTCAGAATGGAGTCGTAGTTCACACAGAAGAAAATGTTTAGGTGTGTGAAAACGAGGTCTATGCGAAATAATAATGAATGTAAATTAATTTCATTGAATAATACTTTCAGTTTTTATTGAAAAAAAGTGACAATCTGTTGTTCTGGATTCGTGTTGTATAGGTAGAGATTTAAAAACATACTACTGTTAAAATATACTATGAAATTCGGAATACATTGTTCATTCTGTTTCAGACATATGGACTGCATGTAATTATAGCATTTTAACCAGTGTTTTGTATTCCCCTGGAAATCTATTGCACAGAAAAGTGGCTAAATGCAGTGAATAATCTATTCCATAGTATTCTGAAATTTAAGACGAAAAGAGTGTTGTGTTGAAGTTTCAGTCAGGAAACTGACATAAATACAGGTAGGTTAAGATAAATGATTTAAAGTGGAACAAAATATATTTGAAGGATTCCACTGATTAGATGCTACGAAATATTATAGTCACTGACCATTTTTGAGTGGGAAGGCATTTAAATATGCTTATCATACTTTATGGTAATATTTTCTCCATAAAGTTTTATGCACTATGCACTAAGTTTGATTGACTGAAGTAACTGGGATATGTGCTACATATACTTTGTCATTGAATACCCTTTCACCCATTGGCAGGCAAAGTAGTACTTAGACTACAGTACGAATGGAGACGGCCAGGCTAAAACATGGCATTAGTCTGTGGATCATTGAACTATTGCTGTGAGACATGTAGAGAAATGTTGAGAGACTTCCAGGCTATGGGTCTGTATGATAACCAAAATCAGTGGTTGGATACATCAGATGATATGGCTCAGATCCACTCA